TATCTCCTTTATAAGGTTTTTATAGACTTATCTCCGCACTTTGTTGCTTAAAGGATCTCTCAGGTAATCTCGTTGCCCTTAATCTGCTATTAAAATTAGCTTGTCTTAGGTTGTCAAGCATGCTTCTGAAAAAAATTCTCTTCTTAAATCCATCATCATTTCTCTTTTTTCTTCTTCTGTATCTTGGAATCTGAGGTAGAGCTCCAGTTCATCAAATTCCCTTTTCCATATTCCCTTCTTTCCATTTTCACCAACATTTGCTCCATTAATAAAATCATCTATTGTCATCTTTATCTTCTATATCTTCATTCTCTCCTTTAATTGGGGGGGGCTCTTACCCCTTCATCCTTTGCTGTGAGAAACACTAGTTTTTCCAACTTCTTCTCAGTTCTCCCATATCCTTCCAGTAGATTTCAAATTCCAGCCAAGATATTTTGGAATTTTATAGTTTCCTCATCTGAGTATCGATCCATGTTTCCAAAAAAGAAGGAGAAAAAAAATCTAATAACTATTGCCGCTCTAGCCTTCCAGACCTTTTATTTTTTATTTTAGATTGATTTAAACACAAGTTCTTTTATGCTCTTCAAAGGAGAAGGGTTCTGTTTTTCTCCCCTTTCTCTCCACTGCCAAAATAGTTCACAAAGAGCACCTGCGAAAACAATTCATGCCTTTGGCTCTTTATCAGTTTCTGTAAACAAATTGCAAACCCTTCAGCTACAAAATCAGTAAGTTCAAAGAGGAAAAGAGAAATATGTTGTTTCAAAACTCCAGTCTCTGACCTTCGAATGGAAGTGTTGCTACCTTTCACTTTCTAATATTTATCTCTGGCTTATAGGAAACAAAGTTCTTTAATGAAATTTAATATCAAGTAAAAGGAAGAATTGTTAAAATAAAAGGGAAGGTTTTAATCCAAAAGTCAAAAAATAAAGTAACAAAAAACAGAAGAAAAATTAATCCATTCACTTTAAGAGGAGAAACAAAAAATGTTGCGAGTACTTCAAGCCACAAAGTATAGTTACAAAGGAAAAAAAAGCTTTCCAGAGCAATCCAATATAGATTAATTTTGCCACTTAATTTTTTTGCTTAAGGATTTAATTTGGCTTTTAAAAAAAGTTTCTTTGGGCAGTCTTTCTCAAAATAGAAAAAAATACCTCACCAGATGGACTCACTATATCTTTTCACTTCCTTCCTTCCGGAGCCATCCCAACTTCATCAGCCTGGGGCTGCCTGTTTACCGCCAGCTTGAAGAGCTTCCCTTGGGTCAATCAGGGACTTTGCAGTGTCCCTAAGACCAGCAAGGCTTCGTCTTCCTGATCACCATCTCTGAGGGACAATTTAGGTCCAAAATGATCATCCAGCGGGAAAAGTATCAATGGCAGTCTCAGAGTGTCGAGACCGCACATTGTATTATTGTGATGTTGGCTCCTCCTTCCAGGAATTCATTATTTATTTTTGATTGAATTAAAATCTAAAGAGTAGAAATCTACCTATCTGTTTTAACAATTTAAGAAAACTATTTTCAAAGCTTAGAAATTTTATTTCATATAAGTAGAGAAAATATTTTTTAAAAAATAAACTTGAATGCGGTGTAACTGTAAAAGCATTTCTGTTAAAAACTCAGCCATGTCAAGTATGAGTTGGTTCCATGAACTATGAATTATATGACAGCAAGAACATTTAGATATTTTTTTTCCTTTAGCTGATTTATGAATGTGTATATAGAATTCATCATTTCCCTCATAACAAAAAAGTCTGGATTCACAATTATACCAGACCCAAAACTAATTTATTTTGTTTTATTTCTTGAATTTAAAAATAGTTCATATAAATGGGGTAACCGGAAAACAAAACTCTATGACAGCATCAATATATTTTATAAATTCTACTTGTTTCAGAAAAAAAACTTTGATGACTGAAAGCTTGAAGAGTTCCAACTCTAAAAATGAGTTTAAAAACAATATCCAAATACATAACAAACAACAATATAGACTTAAATATAGGACCATTATGAGAAAATAATCAATTGCATCCAAAGGTAACAATAGATTATGCCCTCTGAAAGAACAAAGTTAAGTTGGCAATCCATTATCTGATTTCATGAAAGAGTTTATTAATCTAAGTACAAATAATACAATAATCATGTATGAGACATAAATGTAACATAGATGTTTGTGCAGGTAAGATTATCACTCTTCTGTCAAGCAAAACCAAGCATTTAATAGTGATTCATGCCATGTGCATGAATCATTCAAGTGGCAAGAAAATAGAGGCAGTCAGGTATAACACGGGTTATATAGACAGATAAAAACAGGGTCAATCAAAATAGACTCAAATGTCTATACACCAATGCACAGAGTATGAGGAATAAACAGGGTGAATTAGAAATTCATGTAATAGAGGGTGTATAATATATTGTTGCCATTACAGACTCTTGGTGGGATTAAACTCTCAAATGG